ATTTCTTTTGCAGGGTTAAGCAAGAAAATATTTAAGATGTCATAAAATCTTTATTTCCCATTACAGAACAAAAAACATAAGACATCTGCATACATAAGTAAAACCCTTCAAAATTACTATAATCATCACCATCTGATGCAAAGACATCATCATAAACATCGTCATTTACAATTTACTCATATGGATCCCAGTTGAATGTCTTATACTACAGATATAAGATAAAATCACAAAAATTTACCTAGATTTTAGGTCTCATCTTATCTATAGACCTTGTCTTATCTATAATCTTGTCTTATCTATAGGTCTCTTCTTATCTATAGGCCTTGTCTTATATGTGGAAATATACTGTAGTCTAAATAAGGAAAAATTTGGATTTCAAATTATGGAGAAGGCAACAGAAAATTACCTATTAACTTTCCAAGAATGCATGGAGATAAAAAGGAAAGGAAGCTGTGGAGAGTCATGATCAATTATTTTCCGAAAGGTTATGGCATTTTTTAAAAAATATTCTTAAAACTTTATTTCGTGCCTTTATATTAAACTACTATGAAGAGATTCTGTAATCCAACTCAAAAAACTGAGTTCATTAAGTACTAAATTAAAATTGTTAATTAATATTTTCTGACCAATTGAATTAATTCTTGCAAAATTAAGGAGAAAATGGCCAGAAAATAATTAAAGCGCTTAAATTTCTCATACAACTGTGAGTCTTTATCATACTAAGCTGAGAAGCTGACCCAGTTTGAAATTACACAGTAAACTTTTTATTCTCAGCAAATTTATTCTTTTCTGTCTTCTTTGTTGTTGTTATTTCAGTAGAATAAGCATTTGTCTGGTGGAAAACTGGAATTAGCAGAGATCACATGTTCAAATATGGTGCCACAAAATAAAAAGGCAGGACAAAATCTGATGTTAAAAATGAGGGAGGCTACATCTGATGTCAAATGTAAAGGGTTACATCAAATATTTAAAATTAAAGAAGACTAAATCAAATATTAAGAATGAAGGAGGCTACCTTTGGTCTTAAAAGTAAAAGGCTGCATCATATCGGGGAGGTGTTCAACCAGATATAATGCATCAAAATTCCTGATTTTATATTTTTTAACTGATCCTCTTCTCAAATGAACATTTTTAGCACCATTATCCTGCTGAAAAAAATTTTTGTTTCGATTTTTCTCTTGTACTTATTTTTTGGAATGAGACCTATAGAAATTTTCCTCATATTCAACGTACATGAAAGTTTTTACAAGTTTCAAGGGACAAAAAAATGGAAAATAACATTGTCAGATTTATTTTGAAAATTAATGACCGTAATGATTGAGACGAAGAAGACAAATTTAGTCTCTTTACTTTTCAGACACTAAACCAGTATCCCTATCAGGCTTTTCTGATTAGGGTTGCTAAATAGCTGGCAATATTAAAAAGACTTATGATGTTAAAAGTAAGCGGCTACATCATAAATTTTAGCACAATGAAGGTAGACTGAGCACCATAGCTATGGATGAAGTCAGTGCAATGATAACACTGCTTAACTGGCTTCCTAGGTTAAAAATGGAATCTATGGCCATGTTTCTATGACCACAACAAATCTTCAAGTTGGATGACATTGGCTGTGAGTGATGTGTTCCATCATGCCTACTTGCCCAAAATATGCAATCAGATCTGGTGCAACAGTCCCATGGGTCCTACCTATCTAAGATATGGGAACACCCACTCTACTACATCTCAATTTTAATAAGGTAGTATTCATACAAAATTTTATTGTAACCTAATTATATATAACAATGTATCATATGCAAAATAGGTAAATAATTCAACTAAAAAAATTGAAAATAAATCCAATGTATCTAAATGCAAATTAAAGACATGTCATAATAGATCATTCCATCTTAAATAAATCAACAATGTTTTGCAGAAATTTTTAACATCAACTTGAGATTTTTCTTGCTAAAAAGTTAAATAATTTTGACACATTCAACATTATGGATAAAAAAAATAGTGAACATTATATAGTGTTTTTTTCATGAGCAAAACAAATTCATGGATTTGGATGAAAAAAAAGATCCCTGAATGATGTCAAAATCCACAAAAATTTTTCATCCTTTAATAGTAGGTTAGGTTTAATTTAATTTGTAATGTATGTAAATGTATGTAGAAAAAAGCATATGTTGTCACAAATCCCTGTCCAGTGGCCCCAAACAGACTAGAGTCCATGCTTCCCCAGGTCAAATCACAGTTAATGGCCTCCAACTCAAAAGCTCAACCTGGTCACAAATACATGTCTGTTGATTTGACCTTGGCAGCCCTCCATCCAGTGATGCCATGTCATCACCAAGATGGCTGCATCCATAGCTATGAAGCCCAGTGTAAGTACTAGAAAGCTATTGACCCTACAAGAAGTTTTATTCACCCTTTGGCAGGTCTTGCTTTAAATTCTGTTGGATGTCTACCCATTCTCTCACCAGAATATCCTGATGGGGAACCACTTTAGTCATTGATGGCTGAACCATTCAACAGCTAATACTGTGTTGCATAATAGCAGTAGCACTGGTAGAATGAATTGACATTCACTTGCAACAATATACACATTAAAATTACATAATTTCATTGAAAATTCTTTCTAATTTATATTTGATTCTCTCCTGTGATTCATGTCAAAAACTGCAAAAGATTTTCATCCTTTAATAGTCATTTATGCTTAATTTAATTTGTAATGTCAATAAATGTAGGCAGAAAAAAAGCAAATGCATGAATGTATAACGATGTGGACCATCAGTTTTAAGATGAACAGTGGCTTTACTCATGCCAAGAAGGTTAATGGAGGCTGATAGTGACAAGGAAAACACACAGTTTAATTTTAACAAAACAAGATAAGGAAATTATTTACAAATTTACACGCTTGGAGTTGTCATTTCAGGAAAATAAATCAGAAATTTTTAAAGTCTGTAGTTTTAATGAATTGTCATGAAGATGTAATGGTAATTTGGATTTGCAAGAGGAAATGTTCATACAACAGATGAAATGATCTGACACAAAATAATATTAAAAAAACTGTTTAAAACAAAGGTAAGAGAGTTGTTCACAGAAAGGATATATGGTTGCATACATTCAAAAGTAGATGAGGAAAGATAGTTTGAAATATTTAGCTTTCTTGGATTGTTAAAATAAAGGTCTTTGAAGTGCCTAGTGCTTGATTAAGGTCAATAATATAATTGGTGAGTAATTTGACACTGGCGAAAATTTCAAGCTGAATGCAGTGAACAGAAATGAAACTTTTCACATGACTTCAGACACTCTTCTCTTGTTGATTTTATTTTTTCTTCATTTTATATCAAAAAGGATTTCACATAGGCTCACTATTTTATTTTCTTTCTTTTGCTTTGTTGAATGGCTAATTTCTATGAAAAGAACTATTTCATTGGTCCAAAAGAAATTTCACATAGGCTTGCAAATTTATTTCTGTCTTTTTTTAGCTTGCCAGCCAATCACTGTGAGGGCAATGTTTTCATTCATTCAAAGAAAATTTCACATAGGCTCATAAATTACTTTCCACCTTTTCCATCAGCTTTTCAACTAAATTTGAAGGGAGTGGATAAAGGGAGTTATTATTATTATTTTGTACTCACAACAAATGAATACCTCAATGTTTTTCAACGCAGATATGTCGGGGGAAACTGGTCAGGTGCTCAATGGCACAGCAACCCTAGGAACACACCCTGTTATGAAACTAATGACAATGATTAGTTCTCAACAGAAAATGTCTGGGGAAGATGATCACCCTGCTATAGCACCAGGGATGATAATGGTGATTGATGTTTTTTTCATTTAACACTTATCATCATCAACATCAGTCCCATAAATAATAAAAACTGATCATGCAGGTTATATTTTTGGGGGAGTATCCAAATACAAAAAAAAATGGGTTCTCCCTTCCAGTACGGTAATTTGGATATGCAAGGTCCAATTTTGTATCAGTTTTTAGTATAAGCTAATCTTTAATTTTAAATTACTAAGTTTCTTCCCTTACATTTCTCAATTGTCAAACCCTCTTCAGGTATCTTGCTTTCTAGTCTTCAAAAATTTAAATCAATTGTCATCATTTTATTTCACCTTAATTTATATTCTTTATCATCCTCTCTACTTAATAATATTTTTGGCCCAGATTCCTTCAAACTCAGTAACCTGCCTTGCATCTTAGTGGCTTTATCACCTTGAGGTGAAATTTTATAAAAAAAAAATAATTAAAAATAATTTCATTGATCAATTTCAAATTTTCCAGCTTTATAAATTTTGCCATTTTTAAAGTTCCATTTAATTTTCTTTTCGATGGCAGCAGGATATTTTATCATTGGAGATATCAAAATAAATTATGTTTGTGCTCTTTAGTAATGTTTCTGTCTTCTAATACTTCCGCACACAGGAACCCTGTGTATCTTAGTGGCTTTACTGCCTTACATGGGGTGAAAACGCAATTAACAAGAAAAAAATAATCATGACAATTTTTTTTTCCTTTGTGTAGACACAGGATTTTCCTGTTTCTCCCGACCCCACAAATAATGCTATGTTCCTGCCAGCCTGGCTAACGGTTTTTTTTCCAGGATGAACATAGACATTGAACTACGGTCGGGGTATTCCCTGATCGCTGCGGAAACTTGATAATCCTTGTGTCTACCCACATTTAAACCTGACCTTGTGTTTTTCGTGTGAAGACGAATCTAATTTCATTTTTTTTTTTTAATTATTTCATTTGTCATATGAAATTTTGATTTATTGATAGGACTCACGAATCATTTAAACAAGTAAATTATTTAAAAAAAGTAATTATTTAACAATTATTATTTTTGTATATATTTATTTATAGTTCTATAAAAATAGGACATAAAGATGCTATTTTTCGACTTGTTACTACCGGAAGTTGGCTGGTCATATGATTTGTGGCGTGTAATTTCCGGTTTTTTACGTCACTTCCGGTAGTGGATATCAATAAGCTGTTTTTTTAGAAGCACAGTATTTTGGTAAGTCTTTTACTTAATAAGTTTGTTTTTATTATTAAATTATATATATTTTTGTTTATTATAATCAGAATTTGATGAGTAGACGTTACTCTGTCTTCGACATTATTTTCCAGTGTTTCTCTTTTGTTTTCCTGACACACAATAAGGTTGTAAATGGTAAATGACATTTTTTTTTCCTAGTTTTTGTTGACTCATAAGAAGAAGAAGAAGGAATCTTTCAAACTACTAAACATTTTTTTTTATCTACCAATTGGAAGAAAATAAAACTAACAAACCTGTCATTATTCTAAGAAAATGTTTTAATTCTTTTTATGTATGAACTTGATAAATTTTTTTTTCAACGACATGCAAAGACAGTTTCATTTCTGGTCGATTTTTATACTTAAGTAATAATAATTGAATTAATAATAAATTTAAATTTAAAACTGTCTCTCATTTTAGGATCGGCAAAAATATTTTCTTTTATTTAAAATTTTACTTAAATAAAAGTAAAAACATTGAATTTTATTTAAGAAATTAGAAAGACTACCAAAAAAATGTCTTAATTTGATATTTGTTTCTGTTTGTGACATTTTTTCTTTTATTTTTTTTTTTTTTTTTTTTTTTTTTTTTTTTAGTCATATTTTTGAGTAAAAATTTGTTTTTGATTTTAGGAATTCAATTGGAAATTTATCCTTTTTATTAAAAAAATCAATATTTAAGTAGATTTTTTTTCTTTTTAAATCTGAATAATTTACAACTTATGTTTTTAATTTTACATTATTTGACAACCAGATATCAAATCTAAGATTTTCTTTTACTCTTAAATCTAAAATAATTAACAACATAAGCTTCATTTATTTAATTAAAATTTTAATTTAAATACACATAATGAAATCATTTGATTTTTGGGGGGACGTCTTTCTTTCTTTTTAAACTCTTCCTTATTTTTTTTTGTTTTTAAAATTTTCTTTAGTCTTTAAATCCATTTTCTACTTATAAGTTTTCTAATAAAACTTTTAACATTTTTTTTGTTAGAGTAAAAAAAATAATAATAATTAACGTGCCAAAACCCACTATTGAATTAATTACTTCTACACTCCAGATCCTTTTTACACCTGCTGCTTGGTATATTATTGAAAAATCGGTAAGAAAATTTTATTATTCCCTTGTGTGATATGTTAATAAAACCGACATTTGTAGTAATAAACACCAGATGTGATTTATTATTTAAAAAAATGTTGTGTATTACTTTTTAAAAATCATCTTTTTAAAGAAAAGAAAATGATTTTTAAAAAGAAATTAAATAAGTTTCCATATCATGAATTTGTGGCAAGGTAAAAATAATGTGGAGTATAAATTTAATTTATTTATAAAACGAAACAAAAACAAGACTCGTCCGTATAAAATAAAACCTGTTTTAAATTTATAATTATTTTTCTACCTGCTTACTATGTATTTTTGACACTTCTTCTTTTAGCCTTGATTACTGGTCACCTGTAATAATTTTGTAGATTTTCACGGAACAAAATTATCGGGGTCATTGGGTGCAAAATATTTTGTCTTGGTTCTTTTTAAGTCTTAATTTTTTATAGCCTAAAAATAAAATTAAAAAGGTTAGATTTTCTTGTTGGATGGTCCCTAGTGTCACTCAATTACAATTATTCACCCGTTTTATAACGAATAAGGTTGGGAGGAGAACATTTTTTAAACTAAACCCAAGAAAGACTTATGTATTCGTCTTGTGAATTCCTTCATACGATTCTTTTTTATAATGTTAATTAACAAAACAGAAGCTTGTTAATTCGATCGCCTTCGATTACCTTTTGTGGTTTTGGTAATAATAATAATAATAATGAGCAGGGAAGTAAATTAGTTGACAATGTATGAGGGGGGGAAAAAATGAAACCTGCCTCAGAAATGAGATCACATGTTGATAACCGCAAAAATGTGTAGGTGGATTTTTTTTTTTTAATTCTATTTTTAGCTTCTCATCCTTTTTACTACGATATTAAAGTTTTTCTGTTTTTTCTTCTTTTTTTACAATAATAAATATACCTCTTTTTTTATAGTCTTGTTTTTTTCTCTCTTTCTCTAAACAAATCTTAGTGTCATATTCCATTTTTTTAATTCAAAGATGGTTTCTGGGAATTTCTCACTCTTTTCTATTATTTTATTAATTAATAATTTAAAAACTAATCTGTTCTTAAAAATTATCCTAGACACTCACCGTAATTTCTAACTATTTTTTTTTATGTGCCTGTGTCTTCCAAATATTTATAATTGCTTTTTTTTTATTTATTTATTTTAAAATCCTTACCATGTGTGGGTGGAGTAACATCAAATATCAGTACGGAAAATGAATTCAGTAACCGGGGTTCAAATTTCAGTCGGCCCTCTTGCGTTTGCTTTGTGCTGATGTCCTTGGGAAAGTCATGAACATTCTTCAGTATTTGGGCGGGGCTGCTATTTTAACTGATAAATTTGAATTCAGACCCCCCCCCCTCTTGAACCACCTTAATTCGCGGTGGTTCACAATGGAAAGATCTGTAGTGGAGCCATGATCGCCTACGCTTTGAAAGATGACATTTAACTAGTACTTTTTAAATGTTATGAATTATCCTCATAATTTTTATTTTTTACCATTACAATAATCATGGTAATATTAATCGTTTCCTCATACGAAAACATTCGATATTAATATCTAATATTATGCTACTATCTGTTGAAATTTATAAAAATCTTGAAAAATAATTTTTCATAATGCATTTTTATTATTACATTTTCAAACCAACTCTTGTAATTTTCACCTGGATGAAACTAACTTCAGGTGACCATTATAATACCTATAATAAAACAAAAAAACTTCATTTTTCTATTTTTTTATTTATTTATTTTTTCTCCCTACAATGCTAGATTTTCTAATTTGTAGGTAATTTTTTAAAAGATGTGGGCTGATACTAGTGAAAATAATTTTCCTCTAATATATTGAAATTTTTCAATATGGTAGTAATTAGAGCAATAATTGTATTTAATAATTAATAATTGTTCTCTCATAAAAATGAGATGCATCATTTGGCCTATATTTAATGTCAGTTAGACAAAAATTGCTTGGTTCCCTTGACATATTGTCACAGGTGTCAGAGTAAATGGAACCTATTGAGCCCTAAGTAATGTTTCTCAAATTATAGATCAAGTACAAAAGATAACTAGCAATAGTTAAAACTGGTAACACTGCTGGTAATTCTAGTGATGACTATTACATGATTTCTATTTACGTCTTTTTTTTTTTTTTTTATATAACTAAAACTCAACGAAATTCTTTTAAGAAACCTTGTAGAAGACTTAACAAAAATAGTTTGAAATGAAAATGCCATTCTAAAGAATATGGTCTTTTTAGAAAATAATTTTCTTCCTTGCTCTTTTTAGTCCATTGTAAAATGTTTATTCGGCCATTGACTAAATATTTGGTATGGATGGAATAATTCAGGATACCATTGCGGCATGTGATCAACATTTAAAAATATGATTCACGTGCACACTTCTACTGAAGTGTAAGAGCTTTAAAAATAATAACAAAACTGACAAAAAAAAGTGTGTGTGTATATATATATATATATATATATATATATATATATATATACTAGATGGCATAAAAATTTTATGATGGATTTTTTTTTTTTAAAAGATTTCCACTCAGACAACTAACTGGCATATCCGAACTCTAATCTATATTACATAGCATTATCAACCACCAAGAAAGCTGTCTGCCCTCGTATATAAAACCAATGCTCTGAGCATTGTACGATCAAGTCGGAATGCTAAAATCTGTCTTCTGACAGATTTTAGCATTCTGACATGATCGTAACAAAATACAAGTGTACCAATCCAAACATTCCAATCTTGTCTGTTTTATTTGTTGGGAAATTAGGCAGTCAAATGCCCATTTATTTGTTGGATTTCATGATATTCAAACTGCATGCATGCATGCAAAATATAAGTGGACATGGAGGTCAATACCCAGCAGCAACGGTCTGTTTCATGTTTAAAAAATATATATATATATATATATATATATATATATATATATATATATATATATATATATATATAATAATAATAATAAAAAGGCTTAAACACTAATATTCCATGGTAATAATTTATTCCATTGGAATCGTAAATATGATCCAATTCATCAGACCTACAAATTCAAAAAGTAAACAGAAAAAACAACTCCGGAAATAAAAATAGAATTTAGAGAGAATGTAAGTATGAGAGTGTGGGACGAATGTTAGCGCTAAAGAGAGGGGTAACAGACGAGAGAAGGTGGGAGATTAAAACTCAACAGAGAGAAGTTTTAGAGAGGTGAATTGAAGACGGTTTAAATGAGAAATATGAATGTTGTCGGATGTCTAATACATTAAAGATGTAACCGGAAAGGATACATTTTGTGGTGACATACACACACACAATAGACAATCTAATCTTAAAGATGAGAAGAAGAGGGAGGGAGAAGTAAAGAAAAAGGGGTGGAGGAGAGAGATGGGGTGAGGGAAACTAAAACTGAAGGGCATTTACTGAAAGGGCTGCTGTGTAAATTAATATCAACTACAGGTTATAAATCAAATATAAACATATAAAAAATAAATATAACGATTATCTAATCTAGCAAGGACCTATATTTTTATGTTCAAAAACACGTGCGTATACACAATAACATATACGTACGTACGTACGTACGTACGTACGTACATACATATAGGCGTGTACTCTCATACACACATATATATACCCATGTACACACACACATATCAAGCACTATTTTTTAGAAATAATAACTAAAATACTAAGGAACTTTGGATTATTTACCTAACCAGTTCCTTCCTATTTTCTATATATTTTCACACACACATTTTATATTATATATATATATATATATATATATATATATATATATATATATAATATGCATACGTGTGTGTATATCCAAATAAGAGAAAGAACAAATGGAGTAAAAATCCACAGTTCAGTAGCATTTATTTTTAAAAGTGCTCAATACAAAGTACAGCAAACTGTTATAATCTCTTATAATAAAAAAATATAATAATTACTATATATATATGAAAGGGAACCAGTTGCTATATTAATTCAAATTGTTAATTTGTACACAAAACCTATTCAGTGTTTAATTAACAGTTTGGTCGTTGATCTTCAGTCATTTCAGCTTCTTTTTAAGTTTGCAACTGTTTTGCTCAGATTTGATAGTGTTTGAACCCAATTTTCCTACTCATATTTCAGATTCAAATTCTGCACACAATTTGGGTAAATAAATCTTCACAAAATGTCTGTACTTTTATCACTTGAATTATTCAATTTCATGTGATCAATCTTTGTTGATATTTACTGAGGTAAATAGGTTTTAAAGTTGACATTTGAAATCCTGGCTCTAAAAACCAGAGCTCTAAATATCATCACTGCTATAATGAAGTAGATAATTTTTCTGGGTTCGAACAGCAGACAAGTGTTGTTAATATCTTGGCAAGCATGCTGTGTCTCTGTGTTTTTGGGGTTTTTTTTTTTTTTTCCTGAGGCTGAACACCACAGAAAAACTTTTTTTTTTTTTTTTTTTTTTTTTTTTTTTTTTTTTTATTGACTTTTCTGAGAGTTGAAATATGTTAGCCAATTAATTATAAAAAATTAGTGAATTAATAAGCTTAGTTCAATGACTCAGCTGCTACTACGATAACTATAATAATATTTCCTTTAATGATATCTCAAGTGTAGGTAAATCCAAAGCAGCTTAGACAGTGTAAGACCAATAATAAAACAAAACTCTGCACCAGATACCTTTCTTTGAATGCCATAGAAAGAAATGTTGTACTAAAATGAGAGTAGCCTACCATCTATTTTAGTACATGTTTTTTTTTTTTTTTTTTGTTTTGTTTTTTTACTGTTCGGTCTGAGCAAAATAAATTTTGGACATATGCTACAACTTAAACGGTTCTTTCAACAGGCAACTATTAATATTTAGATGAATTGGTGTTGTGGTGGTTCAACTTGTTATATTATAGCATTAAGCTCTTTATTCAAAAATGTTGACTAGAAATGTTGCATTGTGGAACACTCCCAAGAGAGTGCTTACCTGAT